TATATAAAAATATGTACATACAGGCAACACTATACGACACTGTATATAGTATAGTATTAGCCATTAGGTATTTGATAAAATACCACTTGTAAAAAGTGCAGTCGTTTCGGTCTCGCCCCCTCACGATTCTTACGCCCCTCTGTAGAATTATCCCCTACCCCTGTGGACCACAGATGTTGTGCCCGGTATTTCTATACCTATATATACCGTCGACGTTGTAGTTTCCACTTAAGATAAATATATTAATATAAATATAAGATAAATTAAGATAAATATATTAATATATAATAATAGGTAGTTTTTAAGTGACATTTAACTATAAATAGATAAATATTATAATACCGTTTAGAACGTTGTTAATATTATACCGAGCATAGATCAACCGTGCGCTAAATATAATATAGGTACCAACTGTACATTCTATATAATATATATTATGCATTATATATATCATTACAGTCGTATGTGTGTATGTATGATAATTAAACAGTAATAATGTTTTATGTACTGCCGCCAATGATGTATGTATACTTATGTATGTATTATATACTATATATTATGTGCTGTAAATATATATTATATTTATATATAAATGTGTGTGTCATATGTTGTATATTTATATATCATTATTTATTGCGACGATGTGCGTCTTGTATTAACTTATATATACTTATAGGTATCTCAATCGATGTCAACCACAAATACCTGATATAATAATAATATAATAACAATTCTTTTGTTTTATTTCATTAATATTGTGTTTCGTGCGTCTGTGCGTGTATTAGTATGACATTTATTTTTTTTAAATGAATTTCAAAAGTAAAATTGATAATACCGTTACAAAGTTCTTGTATCGGCGTATCGCATAAGACCTGTAAAGTCTATGTGAAAATCCAAGTTGTGTACAATATATAATATATTATAATGACTGCGTGAGTCACTGAAATAAGTTTAATTTGCGCTCGTACCTATGCAAACAACATAATATTACGATTTCGATAAATTATTGAATATTATAATATATTTATTGGCCAACGGCATAAATGTACCTATACATATTGTAAGTACCCTTACAAATGTATTATCTATAATATTCAAATATTATAACTTGAACAATGATACTTTTTTTTTTATACTTAGCTGATCCAATATTGTATTACTAAAGTTATGTTGTCGGTTCCATGGACCGTTAAAAATCATTTGAACTTGTTACTTACTACTTACATATTACAACAAGYGCKAATRATAACTAGGTAATTCGTAATTATAACGGATAAACACATAATRATTTAAATAAAAACAATACAATTCCACATGGTTGTATTTGCTGTTCAGCGTTCTGCTCACAGATTGTAATTTGTATGACAATATCTTCATTGTTTGTAAATTTATATTTCATGATCATTAATAATTAATATTGCGTTTTTTAAGATTATTTATAAATTCAAATCATAACCGTGTATATAAAAATAATCAACAATTTGTATATTTATATTTACTTATAATTAAGTTTTAACTTCTTACAATTCGCGGTTTTTTTCAGTTCCAATATATTGTATCACATTAATCATAAAACATTATATCTTTCATCATTTGAAAGTTTTCACAATTTTCACAATATAAAATTGTAGCGTGATTGTGATAACTAATTAGTAATTACTAATTACACATTGAAAAAAAAATCAAAAAAATTACGAACATTATTCACTGCAAACGTTTATTTCACGGTAAACAAAGTACTTGCGTGCAGTGGCGCCGAAGTACAAAATTAAATGTATGGCAAGAAT